AATTTTTTTAATCAACGATCTAAGTTTCCACCTTAGGCAGAAAAAGAAAAGCAAATTAAACTCACTATAAAAGGAAGGAAATAATAAAGATAAGAGCAGAAATCAATGAAACGGACAAACAACTGAGAAAAACAAAAATGAGTTCTTTGCAAAGATCAACTGGATAAACCTCAAGCTAACATGATCAAGAAAAAAAAAAAAAAAAAGAAGACCGAAATTACCAATATCAGGAATGAAAAAGGGGACATCAATACAGATCTTACATACAACAGTAGAGTAAGAGAATATTCTGAACAACTTTTAGATCAATAATTCTTTAGGTGAAAGAGACAAATTCCTTAGAAGGAAAAAAATCACTAAAGCTGACTTAAGAAACACAGTAGATGAATAACCCTGTGTCTATTTTTGAATTCATAAGTAAAAACTTTCCAGAAAGACAACTCTAAGTCCAGACTACTTAAATGTGGAATTCTGTCAAATATTTAAGGAATAAATAATACCAATCCTATGCAAGCTCTCAGAAAACAAGAGGGAACACTTCTTCAGTTATTCTACTAGGCTAGCATTGCTGATGCCAAAACCAGACCAAAAAAAAAAAAAAAAAAAAAATCACAAAAGAAAACTACAAACCAACATTCCTTATGAATATTGACATAAGATTCTGTATCAAAATATTAACAAATTTCATCCAGCAATGTAAAAAACAAACAAAAAACAGATAACATACAACGACCAAGTGGCATTTACCACAGGAATATAACGTTGGTTTAACATTCAAAAATCAGTAAGTGGAATTTACTATATTTACAAAATAAAGGAAAAAAATCATATGATCATCTCAAATGATGCAGAAAAAGCATTAGAAAGAATTCAACACACGATAAAAACTCTCAGCAGACAGGAAAAAAAGGGAACTCTTTAACCTGATAAAGGACAGATAAAATCATATTCAATGAATAATGAGCACTTTCCCTTAGGATCAGGAACAGGGCAAAGACCTATGCTCTCACTACCTCTTTCACAACTGTACTGGAGGTTACAGCCAGTGCAAAAGAAAAAGAAACTGAAGGCATACACACTCGTAAAAAGAGAAGTAAAAACGTCCTTCTTCACAGATGCAATGATCATGGGTGTAAAAATCCTAAGAATATATTAAGAAGCTACTGGAATTTAATAGGTGAATTTAGCAAGATAATAGGACACAGGATCAACGTGTTAAAAAATCAATTGTATTTTCATATAATTAGCAACAAGGAAAATGGAAATTTCAAAAATACCATTTACAAAAGCTTAAAAAACATGAAATACTTGGTATTATATTTAAAAAAAAGTTTAAAAAATTCCACTTATAACAGCTTAAAAAACATGAAATACTTGGTATTATATTTAACAAAGTATTTGCAAGGCCTATACACTGAAAACTACCAAATACTGCCGAAGAGAAAGTAAAGCAGATTTACACGACTCTGCTCAAGCTCGGGAAGACTCAACACTGCTATGATGCCATTGCGTGCAAAACTGATCCATCTCAATCAAAATCCCAGCACTGGGGAAATGCAAATTAAAACCACAATGAGATACTATTCATACTCAAATACTGATAAGTATGTAGAACAACTGGAACTTCTCAGTCATTGCTGGTCAGTATATAGCAGTACAACTCCTTCAGAAAATAAATTCTTAAAAAAGTTGAGTACACATGTAAGATTCCATTTATATGAAATTCAAGAACTGGCAAAAGTCATTTACGGTAACAGAAATCAGAAAGGAACTTTGGATGGGTAGCCAGGGGCAAGGAGTTGACTGCAGGGGCAGAAGAGAATTTTGGAAATACCAAAAGTATCTTTACTGGGCTTGTGGTTATACAGGTATATACATTTTTTCAAAACTTAGTAAAGCTGAACAGTCCAAATTAGTACATTTTATTGTTCGTCATTTTATACCTCAGTAAAATTTCTTTATAAAGTAAAAACTGGGGTGCCTGGGTGGCTCAGTCAGTTAGTTTAAGTGTCCGACTCTTGGTTTTGGCTCAGGTCATGATCCCATAGTTCGTGAGTTCGAGCCCCACATCGGGTTCTGCGCTGAAAATGAAGCCTGCTTTGGGTTCTCTCTCTCTCTGTCTCTGTCCCTCCCGAGCTCTCTCTCTCAAAATAAATAAATAAACTTAAAAAAAAAAAAAAAAAGTAAAAACTAAACTTAAAAAAATTGTTATTTAAGTCCATGTTCCCCTCTGCCTAAAAGCTCCACGTCACAGTGGAGCAGGCAGGCCGAGGGGACCCGTGCAAGTCAGTGGGGCAACTACGACCTGACCCAGTTTTTCAAACTGTGCCTCCAACTTCACAGAAGACTCCAGGGAGCATTTCGGCAAGTCTTTAGTGTTTGCTTTGTTTCGTCTCATTTCACTTACTAGTATTTTTTCTTATTTTGTGAGTTGACGGACACCTTTCTCCCCCTTAAGTTCAGTTTTCCTCTATCACCAAAATACATTTCCGTCTTTCCTCAGAAGAGTACATTTACTCCCAAGCACGAGGGATGTTCGAAAAACAAAACTACGAACACGTTACCTAGTATGAACAGAACTTTCTTGCCAGGAGCCAGATAAAAAGGAGATTTGCGCTTCAAACGCAGATGCAGTTCTCCCACCCTGACCACCCAAGTATCCAGACTTTCTACCTTATTGCGTTTTCAGACTACTGGCTGCCAATGAGGCGAGTTCAAGACCATGTGCTTCAAACACGGTGAAAACTTTCTCACTCAGGCATAGTTATACAATTTCTTCCCAATACTAAGAGGAGCATGACTCCAAGAAATTGTTTTAATACCATGACGTTAGACAAATTTTTAGGGTTGACAGATCTCTGCCATGTTTCTTAATAACAAAGGGCAGGAACCACGGCAGCTTTCGGACTCACTAACACCACAAAATAAGGGCACACAGACAGCATCAGAAGGGCATGCTGAGCAGACAGCTCAGTGCGATAATCGTGTCCCTAATGTACACTTATTACAAATATAAATGCTAAGGTACTGGGGCGCCTGGGTGGCTCAGTCGGTTAAGCGGCCGACTTCGGCTCAGGTCATGATCTCGCGGTCTGTGGGTTCAAGCCCCGCGTCGGGCTCTGTGCTGACAGCTCAGAACCTGGAGCCTGTTTCAGATTCTGTGTCTCCCTCTCTCTGACCCTCCCCCGTTCATGCTCTGTCTCTCTGTGTCTCAGAAATAAATAAACGTTAAAAAAAATTAAAAAAATAAAAAATAAAAATATAAATGCTAAGGTACTAAGTAGTTACAGGCATCAAAACACAAGTTACTCTTGAATCTGATGGAAAGGTGAAGACCGAACCGTAACAACTGTTAACTGTGCTCCACTTTTGAGAACAGTAAGAACATCAAAGATGGTGTCACGTACACAATCTCGATAATCATAACATCCATGTGATTCCATTAAAAAAATGCGGTTAAAAAAAGACAAAGAAAAAAAGAGAAACTCTTATTCAGAGGCTGGACTTGACACAAACCCACTCGTGTCAGATGATGACAAGCCCGACAAACTCAACAAAGGTCTCTGAGCGGCCGGGGAGGACCACAGAGCCCACGCCTCGGTGGTGTGCAGAGCAACGGAATGCCTGCCAACCACTGAAAATGCCCGACAAAGGCAGAGGCAAGAAAACGTTTTTATGACAAACACACGTCTGAGACCACTCAGTACACAGAACCAATCTTCATCCCCAGAAGAATTTCTGAAAACACTGCATTACTTAACAATGATAGAAAATGACTTCCGGAATGGTGACCTTGAGTCAACAGCCCTTGCTAAAAACAGCACAATGTGCAGTATGTGCTTTATGAAGGCAGCCAGAGTGGTTATAATTGTCATCGTTTCCTAGTTTCAAGTCCTGAGCTCCGGTTATCTCTCAATGTCAGGCATGTAGAAGCCTGTGCTCGGGTTATCACCCCTAGTGCTGTCTTAGAGGAAATGGTATCAGATAGAGTTTACACCCATGTCCAGCGATGTTTGTAGAACCACCAAAGGGATTCAACGAATTTTTAAGTTTTCAAGCACGTTTTGAAAATGAGGTTTCCCGTTATTATAAAACATCTTCAACAGAAAATAATCCATCCTACCCGCAGGGAGATAACTGCCAGGTCTTATTTGTAGGGTCATTATCGTCCACTGGAATTCTGTATTTTCTTCGACTTTCTAATTGGCTAGTGACGCATCATTCTCAGTTTCTCACTCCCTTTCCATCCCCTAAATAAAAGAACACCTTCCATTTCCTCCACAACGCTCCCTTCCCCACCCACCCCACAGGAGCACCGACTGGTCACAGCACAGCACCCACTGCCCGACGTCAGCACTGGTGGGCTGTGCCGGGTTGGAATCTGCGATGCTTAGAGCCACACGGCAATGAGGAAACAGAGTCCTCCTTCTTACTGCGCAGTCTGACCGAGGAGGAGTACGTTACCATCCTGGAGCACCTGGAGCTTAGACTCTTATCAGCCCTAACACAGACAGCCGGTAATCTGCTCCCTCCCCTGAGCCAGACCCTGGGCTGGAACGCTTCACGCCCACTATTTCCATTTAACCCTCGTAACTGTCCCGTGAGAGAGGTCCTCCTTGATGCTCACTTTCTAGCTGGGCAGGCTGGGGCAGGGAGGTGATTAAGCAACCCGAACCCTGATCACACAGCCACGAGACAGGAGCACCAATCAGGATGTCAAAGCTCACAGTCTTCACAGCGCACCAACTGCCTCTGTGGCCTGCGCTCCGGCCGTCAGTCTGTACTTCACTTCTGGAGTTCCCACTGAATGCTACAGACTCCCTTTATCCTGCTTTATTTGACTACAAGGCACGTATCTTCTCTTCGTGCGGCATGAGGTCATTACTGTCTTAACTTTCAAAAAGTCAGAGGCAAATCAAGCCAAATATCATAGATCTGGGCAGCCTTGAAACTTTGCTGTTTGAAAATCACTGTGACACTTAAGTGTGGAAGAACATTACCTGGGGTTACAGTTAGCTGAAAGCAGTGGAGCTTGTTTGGATCAGGAAAATGCACTTTACACGTACCTGCAAAAGAAACAGCACATCAGGAAGGTCTGACAGCCGGCAGCAGCCCTACACAGAGGCTGACCTTGAAACACGCGTGGCGTTGAAGGTGCTGGAGGCGTCTGTAGACCCCTCCTCGCTCTTGGCGTGTCACTAACTGTGCCACTATTGCTAACACTGCAAGCCGGTGGCTTTGCCATGGGTGTCCCTCCTCACGGTCCCGCCCCCTTTAATTCCAAACTGAGATGGCTGCTTTCAATCTTTTAATGATCACTGAAAACTAGGATCTTTCCATTAACTTTAAGAATAATGCTACTTTAGTTTGTAAAGGGAACACCACACTTCAAGGAGATTAATACGTGTGGGTAAGGCTAACTAAACATGGCAAAACCAGAAAAACGCAGGCCAAACTTCTGGGCTGTTCAACCACCACCACACTTATTCAGACCCATCACAGTAAATGGAAGCTCAAAAGGTGTCCTTGAGGGGCATCTGGGTGACTGGCTCAGCCCGTTAAGCATCCGACTTTGGCTCAGGTTATGATCTCACAATTTGTGAGTTCAAGCCCCGAGTCGGGCTCTGTGCTGACAACTTGGAGCCTGGAACCTGGTTCAGATTCTGTGTCTCCCTCTCTCTGTCTGTCCTTCCCCTCCTCATTCTGTCTCTCCCTCTCTCAAAAATAAACATTTACAAAAAAAAAAAAAAAAAAAAGGTGTCCATGAGGTTAGCTAGCACCCAGTTTACCTGGCATTAAAAAAAAAAAGTTTCACAACCCAAGTAGTAGCTCAGCTTGCTTTGTGGATGAAGGGATGCTCTGCTCAGACGGCAGTGCCCTATGCCCCCTGTGCCACACTGGAAGGGGTCTGGTCAACCGGGACAAGGAGTTCCCATAGGAGAAGAGGGAATGTCTAGTGGTGCAGATAGAAGTTGGCCACATCCTACATCTGTTCCTTCAAACAAAGGGTATAGAAGAACAGTGAGTACACAAGGAATAAACACCCACTATACTGGGAAGGAATATGTAGAAACTGTCTATAAAGTCAGAAAATACTACACTGAACTCCTTGGATCGCCAGCTGACTTTATTTCTTACAAGTCTCACTGCAAACATTTTGCCTGGTTTTATAATGGTATGAAATTTCATCGAAAACAGGACAACTTCAATTTTGACTTGGAAATGGCCCTTAGAGATCATCTCGTCCAATATCCTCAAGCATGGGATGATACAAAGGTCCAGAGAGGTTCGGCAACCAGCCCAGAATCACACAGGTTATCAACAAAAGGTTTAGTTCCCAAATTAAAGACTAGTTCATGGCTCTTCTCCTCATACCACACCTCACCTCATGACTTCAGAAACAGGCTGGTGTGATGCGTAAAAGCCATACAAAACTGTTAGCAGGGTTTCTTCCTTTATCAATCTCTGAGAAAATCATTGTAGGGTGAAAGGTAACTTAGTCTACAAGAGCAAGAAAGGGTCTTAGAGATTACACCGTCACATTCCTTATTTTATAAACAAAGAAACTGGGAGCCATGTGCCCAAACCGCACGTGTGAACTGCACATGGAATAACTGGAATATGCTTCGTTCTTCCTAATCTTTCTTTTTAAAAAATTTTTAATGTTTATTCATTTTTGAGAGAGAGAGAGAGAGAGAGAGAGAGAGATAGCATGAGTGGGGGAGGGGCAGACTGAGAGAGAGACACAGAATCCGAAGCAGACTCCAGGCTCTGAGCTGTCAGCACAGAGCCTGACGTGGGGCTTGAACCTACAAACTATGAGCTGATGTCAGACGCCCAACGGACTGAACCACCCCAGGCACCCCATTCTTCCTAATCTTAACTTGAAATGATAAATGCTATCTTTCCAGTGAGATGTATGTAACAAAAATGTACGACAAGGGTTTAGAAAATGTTCACGGATCAGCTGAAGTTGGCATCATTCATTTGTTTTTAATACTTGGCATTCTCCTTCATTTTGGTAAAGGTATAGATGTAGAAACCCATCCTTCTAGAACAAATTGGCCCACCAATAATAAATAAGTTACCAGGTAGATTAAAAAACAATAAAACTACCGAAAGAACCTAACATCTTAAAACTCAAAAAAAGCCTAACAACGACCACAAAAAGTGAAAAGTCAGGTTTTCGTTTTAGTTCAATGCAAGGGCTGTATGAAAACCCGGGACCCTAGCCTTTCCTCTGCCTGCAGGCACAGGCTAGCACGTTCATGCTTCTATCTATGTGAGAGGGAACGTGTGGTTTCGCCAACAGAGAGACCTCTATAAACTTGCCTGCACAGAGCTCCAAACTAGTTCTCAATGCGATGCGTACAAGCAGCACTCTCACATGGCAAGTTATTTTCTTTTCCTTCGTTAACACTTTAGAGAGATACTAAGGATTTATTCTCCGGTGGCTCCTTGTTTGCTCTGTGATGAGATCTGTACTTTTGGAAAGCATGGCTTACTTGTACAAACGAACTTAGACTTCCCTGACTCTGACGGGGCAGAGGGAAGGGGGAAAGTGAGAAAAGAGGCAGATAGCGCATACTTTTTTTTATCTGATACCTGGGCCATCAAGGCTAGCAAGCTACCTTTTTCAGACCTAAGGTAGTAATTAAAATTCTGGCTTGAGAGCCAATTACACAGTTTTTATAATTTTTTTAAAGTAAGTTCCAGGCCCAACGTGGGGCTTGAACTCACGACCCTGACCTCAAGAGTCACATGCTCTACCGACTGAGCCAGTTTTTTTTTTTTTTTTTTAATTTTTTTTTTCAATGTTTATTTATTTTTGGGACAGAGAGAGACAGAGCATGAACGGGGGAAGGGCAGAGAGAGAGGGAGACACAGAATCGGAAACAGGCTCCAGGCTCTGAGCCATCAGCCCAGAGCCCGACGCGGGGCTCGAACTCACGGACCGCGAGATCGTGACCTGGCTGAAGTCGGACGCTTAACCGACTGCGCCACCCAGGCGCCCCATGAACCAGTTTGTTTTTAAACCAAAATTTTAGATAAAGCTGAAGCTATCCTTCTCTACGGGCTAAAACCCAACAATCTCTGTCAGAGTCTTACTTAAGGACAAAATGAACCATGTGTAAGCAGTAACTTCTTATGGTCTTTGATTAAACATATGCACGTGTATATACAGAAACCCTTTAAGAGAACCCCAAGACACTTCCTTCCAGTTTTGACTAGAAGAAAACTTTGAGGTCAAGCAATTCAGGGATTCTTTTTTTTTTTTTTTTTTAATGTTTATTTTTGAAAGAGAGAGAGAGAGACAAGGCGTGAGCAGGGGAGGGCAGAGAGACAGGGAGACACAGAATCCGAAGCAGGCTCCACGCTCCCAGCTGTCAGCACAGAGCTCGACTTGGGGCTTGATCTAACCTGAGCCGAAGTCGGGTGCTTAACCGACTGAGCCACCCAGGCGCCCCTAATTCAGGGATCTTTAAGACATTTTTGACTGAGACCCCCACTAAGAAGCCTATTTTATATCACAACCCACCACACTCATATGTAAATACCATACATTAAAAAGAATTTTTCAGGAAACTGTGTGTACTTACCCTTACAAATGATTCTGCAACCACTTCAGGCGCACCCACCACCGTACTTCTAACTTTAGTTGGTGGTGGGAACGGACCCTCTCTGACCCGTGTCAGGTGGGCCAGATACCAAGTTCTCTCGAGCATTCACCCAGACCAGGAGACCAACGTACAAAATATTTCGCCTACACTGACAAACATCCTCAACCTCAGAACTGTTTTTTCTTTTCTTTTCTTTTTTTTTTTAACATTTATTTATTTTTGAGACAGAGACAGAGCATGAACAGGGGAGGGTCAGAGAAAGAGGGAGACACAGAATCTGAAACAGGCTCCAGGCTCTGAGCTGTCAGCACAGAGCCCGACACGGGGCTCGAACCCATGGACCGTGAGATCATGACCTGAGCCGAAGTCGGACACTTAACCGACTGAGCCACCCAGGCGCCCCAGAACTGTTTTTAACCAAGTATGATGATAAAAAGTCCTAATTCAAAAAAATACTAAAATGGTCAAAGCTTTCAGGCTTTAGTGGTCTTACACAATATGCTAAGTTTGGGAAGGGATTAGTAACAGGAAAAAACCGCACCTTTGACACATCACACAAATGAGCTGCCTGGGGAGTGAGCCTGCTCACAGGTGAAGACCACACCATGGGTCTCTGTGCCTGGGCAGGAAGGACTGAGCACGGTGAGGACAGCTGGTGACATGGGGGTACATGGCCACCCCAGCCCATGCACAGAGATAAATTACAAGTAAGCACTTTGTGGACCAAAAAAGTGGTGCCGTCACTCACAAAAATAGGACTGTCTCTCATCGATTTATATCTTTTCACTCAAAGAGGACGTGGGACACGGGCGCCTGGGTGGCTCATTCGGTTGAACATCCAACTCTTGATTTCGGCTCAGGTCATGATCTGATGGTTCGTGAGATCGAGCCCCGTGTCTCTCTCTCCCTCTCTCTCTGCCCCTCCCCAGCTCATGCACGTGCACTCTCTCAAAAAAAAGGACAAAAAGACGATGTGGGACAGAATGCTGTGGAAGAGACACAAAACCTAGCCAAAGCACCTCTGCCATAACAAGGAGAGAGACAGCACTGCCGTGCTGCTCTCAGAAAGACGGTAAATACCTCGCTCTTATCAGAGCCCTGAAAAACTTCCACCTGTTTGCACAAAATTAAAACTTACTCCTAACACACAAAACCAGGCTCTGGGCTCTGCAAGATTATTGCAACGTAAAAAGCTTCTCCGTGCAGTTACCCTGCAGCATTTCCGGTCTGAATGTGGACGCTGTACTTACACGGTAAATTAGCCTCAAGCTCTGCAACCTCTGTGGAAACAAAGAGACCGTCGTTAATATCCATCAGCTCTGCACAGAAAATCCCTGCTCTAACCTGGCAACTTCTTCCGGAACGCCGCGGAACAAAACAGACCGAAGTAACTGAAATCTACACTTGGTCTACTGTTTAAGACTTCAAGCCGTGGAATCGCTTTCAAATACACAAAGGGACTTGCGGGATGCCAGCAGATACGGTCACAGGCCCTTGAAAACGTACTTGGTATAAATGAAAATACTTTAAAATTCACATAGAAATCCCCCATAGGTAAACGGTCACTGGAGTCTTTTTGAAAGTCTTGTTCCCCCACACACAGGAACTGCTGCCCTTGGAACGTGATTTATATACGCACCTGTGTCTCTTCTGGTTCTTTCAAACCTGTCTTCCCATGCAGGCTTGCCCCGTGTGTGCTGCAACTTTTCCAGCGAGAGAAAACTCTGCCTCCTGCCAGGGTCTGCTATCTGTTAACATCTCGAGACTGCCCAAGGAGCGGGGCTCGGTGCCGCAGTCCCCGGCCCCTTCACTCAGCAGTGAAGCCCAGCGCCCCTCTGTCGGGACAAAGCTGCAGACACCCCACTCCGAATGCTAAGAGCGGAGCTCTGGGGATACCCGGAAAGAAGCAGGCAGGCAAGTCATCGGTGCCTCAGACACAACAACGTGCTCTGGGGTCCTGGGGGCACAGAGGCCCCCACCCACTGTGGAGACTAGAGGAAGGAGGTCTATGGGCCAGGCTTTCAAGAATAAGTAGAATTAAGTCCAGCAGAAGAAGAACGAAAAGGTTTGCCAAGGAGGTAAGTTAGTGACGGGCAAGAGCACGGAGCACAGACTAGCACAGGAAGGAGAAGGTGTGCAGGGCAGCCAGAGCGACGGGCACAAAACGGCAGAGCAATGAGAAACCAGGAGGGCTCTGCACACAGCCTGGAGTTCTCAACTTGAATCTGCAGAAATAGGGAGCAGAGGGTCATTTCTACCAAGTTTCCAAACTTTCCTCGAGAGGACAACTTCAGAAAGGGCAAAGCGGAGGTCTGGCGACCTATGACACGAGGCGGCCAGGGCCTAGCAAAGGCAGGGACAGTCAGAGAGCCTGAGGGCACAGGGTCTGCCCGCTGTGTGGGGCGGGTCCGAGATGGCACCGAGAGCTGAGCTGCTGGGGAAGTCCTGGGAGGAAGAAGCTGCAATCCGGGCGCACAGCCAGGGCCAAAGAGACCCCGTGGTGACGCCACCTGGACCTCATGAGACTGACAGGGGAGGCTGGCAAAAAGAAAGAAGCTCGGCAGAGAGCACAGAGTCACTCAGGACAAACAGGAGGAAAACGAGGACACGTGGGGAACGTAAGTGATTCAAGAGACAGACTGGTCCCAGGGAAATGAGGCCCCGGTCGAAGCCACCGGATGCGGATCGGACCCCGCTGAGGGTCCTTGAAACGGCAGGAAGGCAGGTGGCAAGACGGAAACCAGATTCCAAAAAACTAAGAAGTAAATGGGGGGCCAAAACACAGAAGCGGTGGGTAGGGCAATTCCTTCAAGTGAAGTGTGGAACGGTGGGCAGGGAAGGGACGGGGGCGCCATGACCTTGGGAAGCTGAACACGGAGCGCGTCAGCGGGAAGATGGGCAGGCAGACGGCTCCACTCTGAGGCTGAGGGCTGGAGGCCCACAGGCCTTTAGTATCAGCTACTTGAGAATCTGGGTGCAGACAGGCGGTCCGCTAAATGTGTCCACTCTGGGCTCCAGGTATCTGGAATGGGCATTCAGAAAAGTGGAGTGGGGCAGAGATGGGTGGAGTGAGGGAGCGGAAAGGTGCTCACGTGGTTCTACAGTGTTCTGTCCAGTGCCCTAGCCGGGGAGAGTGCCCTCACTCCTGAGAAAAGGAGCAGATCTCTTCAGCAGAGCCGGGCATGGAGAGAGGAGTGACAGTTCATTATCGTCTTGCTGTGATTGGAAAAGGAACAGGTTCTGTGGTGAGGTGCAGGCCTGGGAAGTCTCTTTTCCTGGCCACCTGGCGTCATGGCACATTTTACATTTAAAATCCAGTCACTTGATAAAACGTAAGGATAATCCTATGAACATTCACTATCATTTTCTTCTAATGAGCACAGTGAACTTTGGTTTCGTCCTTCTGACTGGCCCGTTCTCACTGTCCTGGGGCCAGGGCACTCGCTAAAGAAAACCTCGAACAGCAAAGGCGGGCCGAGGCCCAAGTGCTACCCGCTCCGAGGACACCAATACCAGGCCCTCCGAGGCCCTCCCAGGGCCACACTCCGCTCTGGCGGCCCACACAGGGCATTCGTTTTATCAAAAAAGTGTACATTTTAACAAATGAGTCATTCATGTCAATCACTTCAAAATAAATGTTACCTGGGGGTGCCTGGGTGGCTCAGTCAATTAACGGTGTTAAGCGTCTGACTCTTGGATTTCGGCTCAGGTCATTATCTTACTGTTTATGCGATAGAGCTCACATTAGTGAGCACAGAGCCTGCTTAGGATTCTCCCTCTCTCTCTCTCTCTCTCTCTGCCCCTCTCCTGCTCACACATGCAAGCTCTCGCTCTCAAAATAAACATTTAAAAGAATAAAATACCTACATAAAATGTATGTTTTTAAACTGTATTTACATATTTTATTACACTACCATTTAGCTTGTTGCTAAGAACTTACAAGAAACCGTCCTTGAGGGCCCTCGTCTTGAGAGACTGAGGTTGGAACTGGCTTTCCCCAGCAAGCCTATCCCGTCTAGTTGTGAAACTCTGGTAGTCCAGTGTGCCCAGAGGATCTGAGGAGGAGGGGGCCACAAAACGGAAGCAAAATGTCTAAGGCGGCCGTCTGGTGCCAAGGGTTGGGGAAGAGCGAGGTCAGGACGCAGGAGGACAGCAAAGCACCGACCAGGGGCACGGTGGTAACCGAACAACAGAAGCGGACCCCTGCACCACCATGATGGGGTGTTGGGGCCAGAGGCCTGTGTCCAGAGGAAGCCCTACTGTAGAACAGGAATCCTCCGGCCTGGCTGCATATAGATCACTGGGGGAGTTTTCTGCTATTCTGCCCACTTATCAAACAACAGCTTTGGTGAGGCACAATTTACAAGAAAACAGACCCACTCTAACTGTACGATTCAATAATTTTTAGTTAAAACCTGGAGTTGTGCATTCGTCACCATAACCTAGTACCTGCTCAGCTTTTACCACTCCTAGCCCTATGCAGACCCACTACACCAGGAGGTGTACGTGGGGCCCAGGCCTCTGAATGTTTTACCCTCCCCAGGTACAGGAAACCGCCACAGGCTACTTGGCCATGCTCAGATATTCGCACGCAGATGTTTACACAGATGGATTTGATAACTTCACGTTGTAGTCTAGAATTTCAGCTCCAAAGATGAGCGTTATGCTTCCATTTCTAGGTTCGGTGTCACTCAGTCAAGGAGAGTGGACAAGGGCTGGGAGAGCCCCACCATGGTCAGGGCCGCTGCGAGGTTTTGGTCCAAGCGCAGGCAGGGAGCGCAATCTTGGGAGCACGACAATTTCAATCATGATGCTCAGCATTTTAGCTCAGCCTAGTGCAGTAGATAAAATAAGCCACACACTCCCATGGAGCTGTCACAAATGACACAGTTCGTCTACACTTCAAATGATGGCAAATAAGAATTTATCAACATCAGTAGTCATACCTTAGAATCTACGTACAAGAAGTCTACAGCCAAAGAAATGAGCGAATTGCTTTACACGTTCGAGAGGCTTCTTAGCAAAGCGGTGGCCCTTCCCTGCATGACCTCACTGCCTGCAGGACACTACCCCTACCTGTAAAATAGCAAGACACTCAGCTATTTTTAACCTGCTGAAGTCTCGCCTGTGCCAAGACGCTAACCCCTCTACACCTTACTGGCCCTACCTTTCATCTTGCAGAATTCCGTGGCTGCACAACTTCCTCTGAAAACTTAGACTCTTCTCCTTTCTAACTAAAAAGCAAACCACAGAGCCCACTCGAAGCATGCCTGCACTGAAATATCAGATTACAAGATCCACCTCATGACCGCGGTGGCCCTCACACGGCACATACCCGCCCCTTTCTGCCACAGGCTGCTTGCAGCACAGCGCTCTTATTGTTTCCACACTGCCTGCCACTCAAATCTGCACACTCTTCATGGCAGGGCTGTACGGTGTGACCCAGCCCTGCAACCCTAGCACTCGGTCTGGGGCTTGGCACACACACAGGTCGCTCAGGAAATGCTTAACGGATAAGCACACTTGCCCGAAAGCTGGCGGTGCTCCTGGTGCGCATGTCCCGAGAGTGAGAAGCCCTTCTCCTCATGCGGTTACGGACCAATGCATTCCCAAGGTGCTGTGGAAGTGTGTTCCCCCTGAGTTCCTATGTTGAAGCCCTAACCCTGTCCCCACATGTGATGGCATCAGGAGGTGGGCCCTTCAGGAGGCGATCAGAATTAGATGCGGTCATGAGGGTGGGGCCTTCACAATGGCATTAGTGCCCTTGGAAGAAGAGACACCAGGTGCCTGCGGGCCAGGAAGGGGGTCCTGACTGGAACCGAATGCGCTGATGCCTGGATTTTGGACTTCCCAGCCTTTGAGCCACGAGAAATAAATGTGTGTTGCTGAAACCACCCAATCTATACTATTTGCTTACGGCAGCTTGAGCTAAGACAAAAGGTCAGTCACAGACGCACGTGGTTCTTGGCAAACGCCAGCTCCAAGCCCCATCAGGCAAGGCAGCTGGGCCGCCCCACCCAGTCACCCAGTCAGCGATGCAGCTACCTCCCAGAAGCCTTGATTACCTCCTTCGGCCTGAACCACTACCTCCGCAATTTCTTTGACCAGAACTTTCTCTCAGCTTTCCGCCTGTCTTCATGCACTGAGCACCCCTTCTGCGCTCTCAGAATCCACACGCAGTGCCCTTATCTGGGAGACACTCGAACTAAGGGCATCAGCTCTCCCAGAGACGGCACCACCTGCACCCAGGCCTGAGGACCCCACGGACCCTCACCTCAGCCCTTCCGCTCCGTCTAGGGCCCTTCGGCAGCACACTTCGGGGTGTGGGCCCAGAGCACCCACGGTCCCTTTCACACTCAGGCCGCAACCCGGAAAACCAGCACAGCTGCCGCAGCAGAGACTGGTATCGATGGGAATGGAGCCCAAGGCCCCCACCACCCCCACTCTCAACAGGAGTGGACAAGGGCAACTTGAAGCCTCATCCGCCTTCCACAACCCTCCCCGCCCCCCTGGGCTACCGGGCCCACCCACATGGGGCCACCAACCTTGCTGGGCAGCTTCAATGGTATTCTCGGGGCCAGCTGCCTTAGCTCCATGTTAGCGGGACTCCTCCTTCTAGGCCACTGCTCTACTTCTTAAAATACATACTGTAGCGGGGCGCCTGGGTAGCTCAGTCGGTTAAGTGTCCGACTTCAGCTCAGGTCACGATCTCCACGGTCTGTAAGTTCGAGCCCCACGTCGGGCTCTGTGCTGACAGCTCGGAGCCTGGAGTCTGCTTCGGATTCTGTGTCTCCCTCTCTCTCTCCCCCCCCCCCCCCCCACTCAAAAATAAACGTTAAATAAATAAATAACACATACATACATACTGTAGTTCTGCTGAGTACTCTGCCAACATGGCAAGCCCAACCCCGAGCCCACCCCCAGACTCCTGGGCAGGGCCTGGCATGGCGACAGCAGCTCTGGAGAACAATGAACGGTTCTCTTTCCCCCACTCTTCCAGGAACTGCACTGGAACGGGCCTTCCTATCCCATCCCATGACCAGACTGCTCATGTGGACACAGCAGTTCACCTGAGGCCCCGCGTGGCACCCCGAGGACACATCTGCACCCTAGACCCTGGGGAACACGTGCAGGTGGGTGGCCAGGCCTCTCTGCTCCAGGCCTGGAGCGTGGACAGCCACACAGCACAGCCCTAGAAGCAGAAACCACCTGGGGTGCGGGGGCTGATACGGATAAAGGTGCACACATTCATTCTGTCTTGTTCCCCTAATTCCAGGACTGACCCTGAACTCAGCTCGGTCCAAGTCTCCACACTGAACAAGGACTCACAGAGGTGAAAGGTTCCTGCTGGCATGCCTGGAGCCTCTTGGGGTCTTCGGGGGTCACTAACAGGCTGGCACACAGTTGGACTAAAATGTTTGTTGAGTGAAAAAAGGAAAGAACACAAAGACACATATGATCCCATTGTACAAAAGGGGCTAAGCTTCTGTCGGATGAGACTCTAGCTCAGTGGGCCCATAAAGGTCCACCAGGAACTTAGTCCCACCTGCCCTGTGGCTAAAAACACTGGCCATGGTTCCCCAGTTCGGCCCAGACCTGCACAGATCTGACACGCTCTCCACAGTGTCCCCAGGTCCTAGGATTCAGGGCAGACAGCAGCTCCCAGTCTTAGCCTGGAAATAATTGTTCTGCAGCCTCCAGGGGCTGCTGCTGCTGCTGCTGCTGCTCTAAGCATCACCCCAGTTCCAGCCTGGAGGACGTCCCTGACAGTTACCCATGAGATGCGGATGAAAAGGTGGTATGACCAAGGTGCCAGCACAGGAGAGGCCCCCCCTGGCCGGCTGCTCCCAGGCAGGCTTTGGTTTTTCCAGGGAGAGGGACTCCGGCCTCCCAGAGGCAAGAACAGGAACAGGAGCCTCAGCTGTGCAGCCACAACTGGCCCTGCCAACCTCTGCTCTCTTCCACCCATCCGCTCCGCCCTACAGCCATCTGCACCAAGCCACATCCCAACCTCTGGGCGACAGGATTCACCCCCACCCAGCCTCCCCCCACAACACATGGCTGTCTGCACATGGCCTTCAGCTCTCAGTCCTTCTGGGAACTGGGTGGGCTGCACAGACTCCCCGACTCCAGGCCACAACCCTCTCGGGGCAGCCCCCGGTGGACAACTGATCAACACAGAGCAGGAAGACCTGACCGTCTCGTCTGACTGGGGACAGCTCCGAAGGCTGCACCTGCCGAAGCAGGGGCTGTCTGGGGCCTTCCCCAAAGCTCCATTTCTTATTCTGCCTAAGCCTGCCTCCTTCCTTTCCCTCCACAGGTATCAGTCCCAGCGACACTGCTTCCTAACGCTCCTGCTGACAAATTCCGCATTCCCAGGAACCCAGCCCATGGCACCGACTCGCAATACGCTTTTGTGTAACCTAACGATCCTCATGAGTAACAAGTCACAGCCCAGGACGACAGTCTTACTGAACTCGGACGCCCGACTTCTCTCAAAGTTCCCAGAGGGGGGCTCCCCGGCCTCCCCTAATCACCCCCCGAGTGCCCCAAAATGCTACGGACTCCTGGACTCCACACACCACTTCCACCATCAGAAACCTGCAGAATGAAAACCTCTGCCCCACCCGGCCAAGTAAAGGAGTGCCCTAGGTGCAGACCAGGCGATCAGGGACCATCAGAGCACCCTTTAGTACGCACTGGTTTTTCACAGCCCCCAGTCTCAGGTCAGGCCCACCCCTGCTCTCTACCCACCCTCCACCACAAGCCCAAACTGCTCACCCCTCAGCCAGCCCAGCTTGGGCCAACAGCCACCTAGGGCAGACAGAGGGCAGGCCACGTGAGGGGTGTTACTGAGCCCTGCTACCCACAACTACCCCAGAAACCTGATCATCACCAGTGTCGTAGGATGGAAACAGGTGGCCTCATGAGGTGGTTCTTTCTGCACCTCTCTCTGATGAGTCTCACAAGGTCAAGGACCTTAGCAGGGCCTGTAAACCCTGTCAAAGACATCTGTCATGGGAGGTGGAGCAGAATCCAGCTTTGTGGGCCTCAATGGGCCCCTCTGGGCTGCATTGGGTCCTAGAGCCATTTGAGAGCTGGCAGGTGAATCCCTGAGCAGGTGCAAGGTGTGCAGGAGCCTTTGCACCCCCCCGAATGCTCTTTTCAATGGACTTGCACTTCTGCTCATTTAGATCTTGCTTGCCAGGTCTGCTCCCCCAGCGCCTGCCCCACCCCAAAACGTGGGTCTGGCTCTCCTGCTACAATAATACAGTTGTAATCTGGGCAAGTTTTTTAACCTCTCTGAGTCTCAGTTCCTCAGTGACAAAATGAACCACCCACCTGGCAAGGCTTAGCAAAAGGTAAATGACAAGTGCCTTATAAAGTGTCCAACGGAGGGCCTGGCCCCATGTGCCCAGTGTACAAAAGATGTTATGAACCATGACAAAGGATACGGTGAAGCAGCCGGGACAGTCTACTCGTGGCTTCCCACCTGCTCCTCCTCAGCTAACATCTGGACCTTCCTCACTGTAACTCCCAGGCGCTAAAATACTCTCCACTCGAGGACAGCGTCAACACCGCTAACCCCTTCCTCGGTTTGCGTGGCTCCTGGCTTCCTCTGCAGATGGAACCCTCGAGCCAGCATCTTGGAAAGAGATTCAAGTCCTATCAGACCCATCAGGTGAGGAGCCGCGTCCCGCATCCCACCTGACTCCCGCGGCGCCATCACAAATTCTGAATTCAATCTGACGGCATGGGTAGGGTATCAAAACGTAAAAAATGCTTTTTCCTCCATCGTTACCCCATCATCCATCTGGCCGGATAAACCCGAGCTAAGGCAAGGTGCAGGAAGAGTGAGGAGGAGGGCACCGCTGAAGACTCCCCGAACCTGACGCCTTCCTGGCCCCCACTCCCGCCCAAGGGCAGCGCTGATTCGCTTCCGAGAAGGACAACAGCGCGTTCACACATCCCAGCTCTCCTGCCATTAGGTCCGTTTCAGGACATATGAATGCCAGTAACCTCACGGGGTCTGCCTGCTGCAGCATGAAAACAGGCAGTCCTAACTGTGTGGCCCTTCTTTGCTTCCTAGCTCTACACACTTAAATGCAAACACATGCCATAAAGTAAAAAGTGCTGCAAATTCTAAGCTTTTAGGGCAGGAACTATTTTTTTTTTTTTAATATGTAATTTATTGTCAAACTGTTTATTTCCATACAACACCCAGTGCTCATCCCAAAAGGTGCCCTCCTCAATGCCCATCACCCGACCTCCCCTCCCTCCCACCCCCCATCAACCCTCAGTTTGTTATCAGCTTTTAAGAGTCTCTTATGCGTTGGCTCTCTCCCTCTCTAACCTCTTTTTTTTTCCTTCCCCTCCCCCATGGACTTCTGCTAAGTTTCTCAGGATCCACATCTTCTGTAGTCTCACGACCCTCGGAAACTGTCTCTGCACCTGACAGCTATAAGTCTGTTCGAAGACTGAACGCAAAAGTTCCGTACCAACACGGGCATATTCACAGACACGCACACTCATACACATTACACAAAACCTTCTCCAAAGACGAGAGTTCCAGGCCACTGTTATTAACTCTGTGAAGAGAACTACTTGGTACAAGGCTCTCCTCAGGCTGTGACTTGAATAAAGTACAGAAGGATGCTGAGAGATTACTGAATCCCACTCCCTCCCTGTACAGACCAGAAACTGGTGCCCAGGTGTGGGAGAGGGACCCTGGAGCTTCTTGTGATTGAGCACAAGAAAGGAAGGGACTCCCCGGCCCCACGCACACCAGCCAGACAGACGGCCCCGGGACCAGTCCTGGGCCTGCTGGCCCCCCAGCACCGACATCCTTCCGCTAGCATCCCGGCAGCCCCTGCAGAGCACAACCCGAGTGCGTGAGACACGCCGTGCTTTCTTGCCGTCGGCGTTCCTGCAGTGTGTGCACAGTACAAAGTCCTTGGAAGTGACAAGCAAGCACATCCTTCAACACTTTCAAGTAAGTATTTCTATTCAGCAACAGGCCACTTCGCATCCCAGAAGAGCCTCCAGTCAGACTTCATTTTGTTACAGGATAGAAAACAGCTCACATGGATGACATCACCTTTAACAAGCAGCCTGTCTCTCACAGACACCCTCCGAGTGGAGTCGGAGGCCGTGGCTGACGTCCGGGACCCTTTGAGACCGTCATCCCGCTTCAGTTTGCTCGCAAGCGTCAGCATTACTGCCACCTTTCCCCTGAAAGACAGACCGAGGGCAGGGTTAAGGACACATCTCTAGACAAAGACTGGAAGCCGAAGACAATACAATAAGGCAGCTAACAGTTTCCTAGAACTTCGTTACAGAAAAACTCAGTATGTGAGGTGCGTTCCTAAGACTGGATTCCTTCATAATCAATTTGGGAAATCTCTATGCTATCCTGTATAAGTCTGATTTCTTAAAGCATTAATGAAAATTTTAAAGAGAGAGCCACGGAGCACCTAAGCGGCTCAGCTGGTTGAGCGTCCAACTCTTGATTTTAGCTCAGGTCATGATCTCATGGTTTATGAGTTCGAGCCCCAAATCAAGCTCTGTGCCGACAGCTCCGAGCCTGCTTGGGATTCTCTCTTCCTCTCTCTCTGCCCCTCCCCTGCTCTCTCTCTCAAAATACATAACCTTAAAAAAAAAAGAACTTAAAAAGGAAGAGCCACGCATTTAACATTCACTGGACACCAGGCCTTGGGATATACTGGTAACAGGGCTCCCCCTGAGCTGGTGGTCTAGCAGAGCCTCCACCAACGGGTTCCACGTGGGTTCACCACCACCCACTGGTTAAGTGTGCCCTTCCCCGCTGCACGGCCCGTGCACCTGTGGTGTGGCCCCACAGTGCCCGGCCCGCTGCAGACTTGCGGGGAGCATCAGCCCTGATGAGGGAGCCACGCAACGCTTTGTTTTCCTTCTTCCTCTAACAAAGGTGTGGCTGGAACCTTAAGAACCATCTTTGCACTTACTTATGATGTGTCTTATTTACATTTTTTAGGCAGTATCAACATGGATATTAAGTTATAATTAATGCACCAAACTGGATTCTCTTCACTGGCTGCTTCCAGCTCATCTGTGTTTCAGGCACCCCCACTGAAAGCTCACTGGGAAGGACAATAAAGATCAAACACAAAAATTGGTCACCAGCCCAATATTTCCATAATTTCCTTTGTTACTTTAATATTATTTCCTTTCAATACCACTCTGATTGTTTTCAAAAGAAAATTACCTAAAACTTCCAAATGAAAAACTTGACCCAAACACAAATCTTTTAGTTTGAGGCCAAGCTATTGAATGCCAAAATAAGAACCCCCACCCCCCGCATTGGTATTTGTAACCATTAAAAAAAAAATTTTTTTTTTAATGTTTATTATTTTTGAGACAATATGAGAGACAGAGTGCAAGCAGCGGAGGGACAGACAGAGGGAGATACAGAATCCGAAGTGGGCTCCAGGCTCTCAGCTGTCAGCCCAGAACCCAGCGCAGGGATGGAAGTCACGAACTGTGAGATCATGACCTGAGCCGAAAGTCAGACGCTTAACCGACTGAGCCACTCAGGCGCCCCTATTTGTAACCATTTTTAACCCAGATTCCTAACATAGCTTTTCACACCATCTTCTGTGTACCTCCCCCTTCTCCAAAGACTGGTGGATTTTATTTTCCATTATTTGTACCATAAAAAAAAAAAAATACTGAATAAGATCTTCTGCATTGTATGTGACCTACACATAAACACACACCTAGCCCCTTTAAGAACCATTGGTCTAAATGCTTCAAAAGATGGTTCTATTACACACAGGGTTCACAAGCTCCTAACATTTCAAATCTGGAAAGGATTTCTCCCTCCAACCCCCAATTCCCACTCTTTTTTACTGATGTGGATCCTGTGACAATGGGGGCCCAGGAACGGCCTAGTCTGGGGCCACTCAGCTGCTAGGAGCACTCACAGAAGAAACGTTAGTTTCCCTCTTGGAGATGATGAGCACATTTCGGTCTTGAGTGTGGTGACGGCTTCAGGGCTGTACGTGTACGTCAAGACTGATCTAACTGCATACTTTAAACATGTGCAGTTTCACGTACTTCAATCACACCTCAATAAAGCTGACACAAACGCGAAAAGATACCAACACTGGTTTCTGCATTGCCACCTGACCACACCATCCCCGCAGGTGAACCTACACAGCAGCCTGGACCATAACCACCAAATGCACATCTTCTCGGCTTTACCCAGGGCAGGGAGGTATCTGTTCAGGGACCTCACAAGGAGGTGCCTGGCAGTGGGACAGAGTCAGAAACACCCATGGGGGCTCCCGCCTGCAGCACCACCTACAGCTGGGCTCTCTTGCTCAGTCCCCACCTGGCATGATCTGGTCGGGAATCCCTTCGGCAGATGTGGATCACAAAACAGTGTTTGCCTCCCCAGCCAAGCCCCATGCCACACACCCAGCCTTGAGCACATCAGTCCTGCCACACGGTCAGGGTTGCTGTAGACAAGACATGCACCTTCACGAAGTCTGCTCGGCTTGTACCCTCTAGCTGACCGTGCCAATACAAAGATGGCAACAGTAAAACAAGAGCCCGGCGTGCGTAAAGAGAGTTCTAGTCCTAGGAAAGTTATAACAAAGAGTCCGGAGGAGCAAGTGCCAGGGCAGGGCACACGCCTGGTCCACACCCAGCTCCCTGGGACCTGCACCGAAGGAGCCGCTCAGAGGGTCCTGGCAAGACTCGTTGACAAAGAAAGGCTCTCATCAAGACACTGTTCCGTGTCACTGCTCCTGAGGATTCGGCTTCTTTTATAAGCCTACTACCCCACACCGAAGTGGGCAGAATACGCCCCGAACTCAACCCCACCCAGAGTCGGATTCCTGGCTTCTTCAACAAATTTGTGGCCCTTAATAAATACACTGGGCACTGACTGCAAGGGATAAAGACAATGACACTCGTGTTTTGTTGTCCCTCGAAGGGAAGACTAAACTTACTTTCCTAGCATTCTAAGAAACCCAAGTGTATAATGACCACCTATCTCTCCATCTGTATCATTACCACAGGCCACTTCGGGGATGAACCTAAGGCCTGATTTGGAACGTTTCCATAGCTGTTAAGTTAATTCTCCACAAAGAGACTGGAACAAAAAGAATTATTCAAACTGTCAAGAAGTTTGCTGAACCCCTGCCGTTGCTTCCGAATCCTCTTTGCCTTCTGTAATATGTTTCACCCACGGAAGACCCGGCTTAAAACTGGACGGTCCCTTTGCCGCAAGTTCCGCCCCGTTAAGGCAGCACTTTTGGGGACAGATCAGCCGTATCGAGTGGGGTCCACGGTCTCTAAATGCCACAAGCCCCAACTGGCCCATTCAAGTTTCTCCTCTGGGTGGGAGTTGCTCTGACTGTTCAAAAGAGATTCTGGCGTGCTATTTACTAGTCTCATGGTTAACGTTTACTCGGCATTCCGGCCTACGGCCGCAGGGTCAGGCCATGCCACCTGTGCAGGGACACCAGGGGCCAGTCAGCTCACGGGGTGAAGAAGTCATTTACAATCCTTCCTGCTGTGGAAAAGTCCCAATCTTAGAGTAAAAGGTAGAACTGCAGGTCACTAGGGGACAACCAACTTCTCTAACCACAGTGGCCCAAGTCAGGGCACAAAAAAGTCCACGGACTCCCCTCCTCCTTCAGAATGCCGGCCCTGAAACCCCACCTGGGAGGGGAGTCCCCCTGCTTGGCTGACAGACCTTGGGAGCGCAACCCTTTATTTTCATTCGCAAACCCGCCCCCTCCTGCACTGCCTACTAGTAAATCGGGGTGGGGGTCCCCCACCACTCACCCTCATCCCCATACCCAGCCGGAAATCCTCCGGCAAGCTGGCCTCCAACCCCTGCTCCTCAACACCTTGCCCGTTTCTGGAAGCTTCTGTTCAATCTGGTGCTGTCCAGGTCTGGAGTGCCCTCCGTCCCTTCCCACCTAATCCTACTCCTTCCTCAGGACAGCAGATTCCGACATCTCCTCCAGGAAACCTTCTCCGGCCACTCCCGATCCCTCCAGTCCCCGCTCCGGGGCTGGAGGGAACGCAGAGAGGGCAGGGCCCAGATCCCTCCTGTGACAGATGAGGAAACTGAGCCCTGGGCGCGGAGGGCCACACCCAAGATTACACACCAGCGGAACCAGGTCTGGCATCCGAGACCCAGTGGAAGAGATGGTTCCAAGACGCCCTCCCCCTCGGCGCCCCCCTCGGTGCGGACGAACCCCTCCACCCAGCCGCGGCCGCCCCCACCGCGGGGCAGCTGCAGGCAGGCGGGCGAGGCGGGAGTCCCGCTCCTCACCCCCGCCGCTCTCCAGGCCCGGCCTGACTCCCGAGGCGGGGAGGAGCCGGGCGGCCTGCGTCCGGGTCCCGCTTCCCCTGGCCACGGCGGGCTGGTGACCTTGGGCTCCGTTGCCTTCTGGACAATGCGGCCGGCAGCTCCCCGGCGACGGCGGGCGCGAGCGAGGCCGTGCGAGCGCCGGCACAAGCAGGCGCTCACTGCGGGCTGCCCCTCGAGCCCGGCGGCGGCCGGCGCCCCGGCC